TCAGAAAAAGGCTAGAGGAGTTTAATTTGGCCTTTGTGGTCAACAGGGCCACGCAGTTTAAGTTGCTGAATTTGACTAATTGCAAGGGAATCAGATGCCTGTATTGTATGTATAACTGAGCTTTCATAAGGATTGCTATTTATGAATAAAATTATGACTTTTTTTAAACAAAATTTTGAAAATACATTTTTTTTTCTTTCAGTTCTGAATGTGTGTGCAAGCATACCTGATGTAATGTGCAAATTCCCCAAAGCTGTGTACATGGCATTTGCCTTGTCTCACAGTGAGAAGCGTGTTGGCAGTGAGAGCTAGTGGGTGACAAGAGCTACTGATAAAATCAATCTTCACCCCGTGAACATCGTAGAAGGTTGCGAGCTGCTAACTACTCTGCCAGGATGTCAGGGTAAGGAGTCTGTCTGTAGAACTGCTGTCACTCCAGAGTCTACTTCAGGTCAAGGTTAGCATGCATCACTTTAAGGCTTTCTGAGCCACGCTGAGGTCAAATGGAGGCTGTGAACTTGGAAAGCCAAGTAGTGTGGCCTCCATGGGAGTGGCTATGTGTTTGAGAGTAAAAAAGTGAAATCAATAATTTAAAGAAGCAAACAAACAAGGAACAGTATTTAAAGTAATTTAAATGTTTTGAAAGTACTTTGTGTTATGTGTTGTTGATTTATCTATTATTTATTATTCTCAGCTTGACTTTGATTATTATCTATATTAGAAATCTGATGCAATATTTGCTAAAAGAGAGATGGTATTAACATCCAAAACTAAATAATAATAATAAAAAAGAAATCAAATCAATTGTTCATGATGATAAATCAAATGTGAACAAAATATATTTTACTGAGGAGAGTGCAGGGACCTCTGGTGGTTCAGTGTGCAACAATTTTAAAAAATATATATCAGTTGCAATAGATGGTGGTTCATAATAACTCAAATTTAATGATGTCATTTTTTTTTCATCAACACGGTTGTTGCTCTTTGTATTTATCTTTTCATACACACACATGCTGTATACATGTGTCACTGACTTACAAATTATTAACAATGACATAAAACAATAGTTTTTTTCTAATAACTGTACCAGTTGTTCAAAAATACTAAAGTTATTCAAGTTACAACATCTCTACACTTTTCTTCTGTTTGTTTTATTCTATCATGTTGTTTTGTAATTAAATGACACTAGTCAGACTCCGAGTGCTGCTGTGAGGAGGCATGTGGTAAACCTTTGCTGTATAATTAAAACGTTTTACACTGTGAATACACATTTGAACTTGCATGTTCCCAGCTTTCTATTCAAAAAAAGGAAAACATTATAAAGACGTTAAAAACAAGCCAAGTGAGTTCAGTGGACTATTTCAGTGTCATTCCATGAAGGCATCCTTTCTCCAGTCCCAAAGAAATGAATGGGAAGGGTGGAAAAAATTCAGCAAAATATTACATGAAAGAAGCTTTGAAGTAAGTGAATCACAAAAGCAACTGTTTATGCAAGTCATATCAAATAAGCTAAATGCCATTTAGCTTAAAAAAAGGTCTGACAGACATCACTTTTGTGTTTGAGCCTTCAAAGCATCACAAGGAAACCAAAAGAGTTTCAAAGAGATCAATTGCCCGGCACCTGATCTGCAACTCCTCTGGCTCCAGAAGACTCTATTATAATTGCTTTTGGCCTGGAGGATAGATGCAACAGTTTAAAAACAAATTAAAAAAGGGTAAAAAATGTTGACTTTTTTGTATTTTGTGGCTTTGATTAACTGTGCTTGGTCCATATATATA